GCGGTGTACTGTATGGTCAGAGCGGTCAAGGGTCAAAAGTTTCCAATTTAGCAAGAGGGCGCCATTCATGCCTTATTACAGAATTTGCACTCGTAAATCGCGGAGAACGCTATCTTGTGTTTATAAGACCCTTGATGGAGACCTGCACTTGCTAGTAATTGGAATCATCCTCTATATCATCTTTCTTCTCACCATCAGTATTCTCTTCACTCTTTCCCTTCATATTTCTGTAAACTATCACCCTTCTATTAATTTTGCCTCCCTTCCTTATTTCTCATCACCCATTTTATCATATTTTTCATCATCCCCTTTATCATCATTATTGTGTTATGACATCTTTTTTGTATTGGACCCTATTGGAAATAAGTTGGTGTTTTTTTTTTTGACTTTATGGGTTATCCAGGTTTTAATGTTCTATGTGTATTTGTAATGTTATCTACATTCTACATTTGTAATGTTGAAACCGATTAAAAAACAAACAAAATCATCCTCATTCATCATCATTACCATAAAATACATCTTCTTCCTCCTCCTCCACATCATCATCATCACCACCACCGTCCTAACCAGTTACTTACATCAAAGGCTTCTTCAATTCCATCCTCTGTTATGCCTTCATTTGTTTCGTTTGCCTTAGAAACAGCTTCTTGGTTATATTTAAGTATAAAGAATGAATCGTCTGTTGCTATGCAAAGAAGTTCTCCATTCATAGACCAAAATACCTAAATAGAAAAAAAAACCAAAAAAAAACATTTATACAGCAGTAAAATCAATTAGACAACAAGTAAAACATTTGCAATCTCAATGCCTACAAATAAATTAATTACTTGCTTATAGGATGAAAAAGACATTAAATCAATCTTGAATATATGTATACATTCACAACTTACATTTTTAGGAATGATCTCAATCCTACGAACAAGTGATGTACTTTCCCAATCGTAGAAAGCTAGGCCACTGTTTGACTTGACTCCCAATAAAATACCACCATAGATGCCTGGAAAACAGGGAACACATTTTACCTATACAAGCGTTGGTGTTTTCACTAAATTTTTAGCATAACTCTGTATTTTAGGTTCTTTATTTCCCAGTATTTTGAAAAGAAATTCTCTTATCTCTCTATTATCAATATACCTTCTGCTCCAAAATCAGGCTTGAAGTTTTTCCTTTCTTTGAAGTTCTTAAAGATTTTTACTGTTGTGCTACTTTCACGAATAGCATACCTGGAAGAAAATTATGAAAATGTAAATAATGTAATTATGAAACATAAAAAATAAATGAGAAAATAGAGTTGCCAATGTCACTTGTTATACTACTACAACAATGAAACAGCACCCTCATTGGTTGAGGTTTGTTAAGACGTATTTCTTGTAACCTCCAAATTCAAATGTGAATGTTTTTTTTAATTTTTTTCCCCCCTTCCTTTTTGCTTATAATGTAAATTTTATGCCTGGACCCCAATGGAAACTAATCCATCTGTTTTGGATTAATTAATCCTGAATCCAGTCGTTTTTGTATTTCATTGTATTTTGTTTTTGGATTCGAAATAAAAACAAACAAACAAGCAAACTTACTCTGAAGCGTCGTTGGACCAGACAAACTCAAGCGCTGAACCAAAACTCTTGTTTCTTAGAGCCATTGCTGTGTAAATAATATACTCTCCATCACCGCATACAACCACAAACCTTTCAGAACAAAAAAAAAATGTTATTTTGCAAACTGCTATTTGTGAAATGGACATAATCAGCTCAAATTATATTATTAAGGAATAAACTTCCATCACCATCATCTTCTATCATCATAACCACCCCCTTTTAGAAATCATGCCACAAAATATCATCGAAAGTGGGTACTATGTTGTTTTTGTAAATTGTGCAAAATACGACACATTCATTTTACATTTAAAAAAGCATGTATATTTGCAAAATGACAGAATAGAAAATATAAAGGGAGTTTTCTAATTGTCAGAAAATCCTGGTGCATCCGGATTTGAATCCAGAACCCAGTTATGATGTGATTCATTATCATCATCATTATTATCATTCCATTACCTTCAACATCGCAATAACTGTCATCACTATCATCATCATCATCAACTATTATCATTATCATCAAAATTATCATGACTTATAAGATCACTCAAAATGTTCATGTTTATAACTATCATCTTTAGCATCACTACCATTACCATTACTGTCAACATAAGGATCATTAATCCAGGATTCTATTATCCCACTTATTAACTCATCTCACCACAAACAGAAATCTTGCGAGATTTACCTTCCGTTCGGATTATGCGAGATTGTCTGTGGATAGATCTCGCAACTTCCCATATCCTTCACTCCAAGTCCAAGTCTCTCGCCATCTTTAATTTCCATATCTGACAGAATAAAATCAAATTAACAATTATTCATTTTTCTTTTGTAAGTTGGCTTTCCATGGTTGCTTTTTATATACATTACCATAATGGAAATATTAAGAATTAAAAAGCACATTGGAATTTAAAGTTAACTTTATTTGATTACTTGAAAAGCTAGTGTTATCAAAACTTATTTGAATAATTGTTTTTAACTACTTAATTGTTTAATTAAATTGTTTTTAATTATTTACCTCCCATTGACTTCAGATTAGCCTGTTGTATCTCCGCATGCTTGGCCCAGATTATCTTGCCATTGACGTCCATTGACATCGCTGGTTCTTCACGCCCTAACTGCGAATTTTAAGAAAAATTCTCGTCACCATAGGTTAATTTCTTATCAAGCTGACTTTTAGCCAATTGAGAGCAGTCTTTAACATGTGGAAAAAACATTCAATTTCACTTTTAACTTTGAAAAAAATAATAATATTCAAAATTATTAAAATTATAAATTACCTTAATGATTATGCTGCCTTCATCGTATCCCAGTGCAACGCTGTTGCTGCCTCTCTGATTGGCTAATGTCCACACTCTCTCAAGGCCGTAGTTCAGCGTGGTTTCCAATCTGTAGGTGTTTGCATGCCATATTCGAACAGTGCCTATTAAATGAAGAAAATGCAATAAATAAAAGATTTTTTAAAATAACAGGGGGATCCATAGCATACAATATAAAAATAGTGAAACCGCTCTAAAAACTATATAACTTATTTTAACTTCACGACTGCAGAGGTTTCCTCAGGTCAATAAACTTACCGTCCTCAGATCCTGTCATTATGATTGGTAGCTCGGGGTGATACGAGACGCAGGAGATATTTTGAGCATGGCCATCTAATGTTTGCACACAGTTCTTGTTCTATAGGACAAAAATGTGAATCAGTAGCATCACATACTTTATCATTAATTTTTGTTTTATTATAGAGTAATATTTTACTCCATGCTGTCAATAAAACACATAACAAAAAAGTTGGTTAAAATATAAGTAAACTTTAATGTTGGTATTTATTTTTTTTAATAATAATTAGATTTTCAGCCATAACAATGAAAAATCTTGGCAATGCTTTATCGAGCTATGGTACTTAATGTAATATCTTACTGTTGGGTTATATAGGGGCTAACTTGATAAGCAACTGCTTTAAAAGATAGTTGGAAACATACAAACTTGAATTCAGTTTATGATGCGAAGTGTTCTCTGGTGAAATGGTAAAGCAAATACTTTCCGAACCAGCACAAAAACAAAAACATCAACATTAAGAAAATTCTTGTCCCCACATAAAAATCAACAACAAAATAAACTAGAACTATTCCTTATAATTGTCGCAGTAAAAGCTTAAGAACTGCTTCTCAAATAACTGGCCACGTACCTGATAATCCCAGATCTTAACTAATCTATCATCCGCTCCCGAGACGAGGTATGGTTTGTCGCCCCCACTGTAGTAGTCCACACAGTTCACGCCCTTTTCGTGACCTTCAAGGGTAAAATTTGGAGCTGAAGAACCTAGTTGCCAGACCTGTATAATGAAAATATAAACAGCATGGAAATTCATCCAAATTAGAAGAATTTCTTTTTTTGTCTTAGCAATCAATACACAGAGCTTGGTTTCCTTAAAATCTCTACAGTGTTTTCGGTGCAATCGTTGTAATGCGTAGAGGTCTCCTAAGCAATCAGGAAGACCCCTCGATTTGACCGACCAATCAGCATCACCAAAAGCATACACCTTAAAATAGACCTTTCCACTAAGCCACGCCCCTTGGATATATTTGCTAAGGTCCAACAAACGCATGTGTTTGCGTATGTTTTTACACGGCCGTTTTGTAAGGTTACATGATCTGTCAGTCAATTCTACGCATACCTTTACAGTCCTGTCGAGCGATGCACTCGCGAATGTGTTGTTGTCTTTTGGATTGATTACCACCTGCATGACGTAGTGGGTGTGGCCTTCGAACACCTGCGAACACAGCCACTTCTTCTCCCAGTCCCACAGTTTAATCAACATGTCATCTGCGGAAGAGAAAAATAAGCTGTATAATTCACAAGTACTTGGCTAGCAGTGTGAGGAATGTGAATGTGTTTCTTTGTTTGTTATATTCCTTAATAACATATCAGAGTGGGGAATAATATACATACATTATTTCATGAAGATCAGAGTGCTTTTGGCTATTTTTTGTATTTATTTACTAATTTTTGTGACGATGAAATGCATCAAACAGAAGAAAACTGGAAAGTGACTAAAAAAAAATAAAACAACGCAGATGAAACCAAACACCACTGCACTGTTCCCCAGAAAATTCTGCACTGTTCCCCAGCAATTCAAGGCACATATTAATGTTTTTCTGTTTGTTTTATTCCTTAACAATATATCAGAGTGGGGAATATTATTTTTTTCTGTTTCTTATATTCCTTAATAAATAAAAACAAGACACCAATTTACTGGGTTGGCTGAGGGCAAAAAGTTCGAAGTTCAAATACGTACCACTGCTAGTTAGGATGTAGGGCTGTGTGGGATGAACTGCGATGGATCTGATATAATCTGAGTGAGCTTCAAACATGTGACTTTTTTCGAGAGTGTTGTAGTTGAATACCCGTAGTTGCATATCATCCTGAGAAGAAAAAAATGTGAATTTTTTTGTCACGTAATGCGAGTGCGACACACATAAGATCTCAGAGTTTACAAATGATTATGCGAACTCCAATGCCTAAAATGGATAGAAACTGCAAGAATGAGGTTAAGAACCTCGTTTGCACTTTAAAGAACTTATTGCATCTTTTGATGCGATGGGGGGGGGGGGTTTACCCCAATGCTATGATTCATTTCAGCCCATCGTTGCGTCGTTGTGGAATCATGTGAACTAAGCCTCTCTACGGCTGCTACAGAAGTCATGGACCACACCCATACATATGCAATTCAGCAATATGAAGCTGTTACGGGTTATTCTCCTACCTTTACCATTACCTTACAAATCTGAACAACCATACTGCTTTACCTTACAGTTATTTTGCATCATCATTGACACTACTGTTTCCAAACCATAAAATTTTATATACAAATCAATGTTTGTCTTCAGAATAACCTTTTATATCTTATACTCAACTAAATATAGTATTCTGTGATTTCACAGCTAGCAGAACATTGGCACGTGTCTTGAGACGGAAACATGTGGTCCGGTAGGAAGAGAATCTCCCTCACCATGACACAAATATGTAGCACTGCTTCTGTCATGGTATACACTGTCTCTTATACACATCTAGATGTGTATAAGAGACAGACCTTCAACATCGCAATAACTGTCATCACTATCATCATCATCATCAACTATTATCATTATCATCAAAATTATCATGACTTATAAGATCACTCAAAATGTTCATGTTTATAACTATCATCTTTAGCATCACTACCATTACCATTACTGTCAACATAAGGATCATTAATCCAGGATTCTATTATCCCACTTATTAACTCATCTCACCACAAACAGAAATCATGCGAGTTTTACCTTCAGATGTGTATAAGAGACAGGAGAAACTAACAACATTCAGCTCCT